CCTTTATATTCCTCATATACATGATGGAAATAATAATAACTATTTAATAGAATTAAATGAAGTAAGGATGTAAAAACACTTTGTAAACCCTGAATTACTTTACAAAGGTTGGGTATTAATATACTTTTAAATTTTTAATTTCAATACCTTAATCAAAAATTTAACTGTGATGGATGAAGGAACAAGATAAAACCCCAGAAAAACAACTAAATAAAGTGGAGATAGGCAACCTTCCAGAAAAATGATAGTGAAGATGATCCAGGACCTTGGAAAAAGAATGGAGGCAAAGATCGAGAAGATGCAAGAAATGTTGAACAAAGACCTAGAAGAATTAAAGAACAAACACCTAGAAGAAATAAAGAACAAGCAAACAGAGATGAACAATACAATAACTGAAATGAAAAATACACTAGAAGGAATCAATAGCAGAATAACTGAGGCAGAAGAACGGATAAGTGACCTGGAAGACAGAATGGTGGAATTCACTGCTGCGGAACAGAATAAAGAAAAAAGAATGAAAAGAAATGAAGACAGCCTAACAGACCTCTGGGACAACATTAAACACAACAACATTCGCATTACAGGAGTCCCAGAAGGACAAGAGAGAGAGAAAGGATCCAAGAAAATATGTGAAGAGATTATAGTCGAAAACTTCCCTAACACGGGAAAGGAAATAGCCACCCAAGTTCAGGAAGCGCAGAGAGTCCCAGCCAGGATAAACCCAAGGAGAAACATGCCGAGACACATAGTAATCAAATTGGCAAAAATTAAAGGCAAGGAAAAATTATTGAAAGCAACAAGGGAAAAACGACAAATAACATACAAGGGAACTCCCATAAGGTTAACAACTGATTTCTCAGTAGAAACTCTACAAGCCAGAAGGGAGTGGCATGACATATTTAAAGTGATGAAAGGGAAGAACCTACAACCAAGATTACTCTATCTGGCAAGGATCTCATTCAGATTCGACGGAGAAATCAAAAGTTTTACAGACAAGCAAAAGCTAAGAGAATTCAGCACCATCAAACCAGCTCTACAACAAATGCTAAAGGAACATCTCTAAGTAGGAAACATAACAGAAGAAAAGGACCTACAAAAACAAACCCATAATAATTAAGAAAATGGTAATAGGAACATACATATTGATAATTACCTTAAATGTGAATGGATTAAATGCTCCAACCAAAAGATAGGCTTGCTGAATGGATACAAAAACAAGAGCCCTATATATGCTGTCTACAAGAGACCAACTTCAGACCTAGGGACACATACAGACTGAAAGTGAGGGGATAGAAAAAGATATTCCATGCAAATGGAAATCAAAAAAAAAAGCTGAAGTAGCAGTACTCGTATCAGATAAAATAGACTTTAAAATAAACAATGTTACAAGAGACAAGAAAGGACACTACATAATGATCAAGGGAGCAATCCAAGAAGAAGATATAACAATTATAACTATATATGTACCCAACATAGGAGCACCTCAATACATAAGGCAACTGCTAACAGCTATAAAAGAGGAAATCGACAGTAACACAATAATAGTGGGGGACTTTAACACCTCACTTACACCAATGGACAGATCATCCAAACAGAAAATTAATAAGGAAACACAAGCTTTAAATGACACAATAGACCAGATAGATTTAATCGATATTTATAGGACATTCCATCCAAAAACAGCAGATTACACTTTCTTCTCAAGTGCGCATGGAACATTCTCCAGGATAGATCGCATCTTGGGTCACAAATCAAGCCTCAGTAAATTTAAGAAAACTGAAATCATATCAAGCATCTTTTCTGACCACAACGCTATGAGACTAGATATCAATTACAGGGGAAAAAAATGTAAAAAACACAAACACATAGAGGCTAAACAATACGTTACTAAATAACCAAGACATCACTGAAGAAATCAAAAAATACCTAGAGACAAATGATAACGAAAACACGATGATCCAAAACCTATGGGATGCAGCAAAAGCAGTTCTAAGAGGGAAGTTTATAGCAATACAAGCTTACCTCAAGAAACAAGAAAAATCTCAAATAAACAATTTACCCTTACACCTAAAGGAACTAAAGAAAGAAGAAAAAACAAAACCCAAAGTTAGTAGAAGGAAAGAAAGCATAAAGTTCAGAGCAGAAATAAATGAAATAGAAACAAAGAAAACAATAGCAAAGATCAATAAAACTAAAAGCTGGTTCCTTGAGAAGATAAACAAAATTGATAAACCATTAGCCAGACTCATCAAGAAAAACAGGGAGAGGACTCAAATCAATAAAATTAGAAATGAAAAAGGAGAAGTTACAATGGACACAACAGAAATACAAAGCATCATAAGAGACCACTACAAGCAATTCTATGCCAATAAAATGGACAAACTGGGGCTTCCCTGGTGGCACAGTGGTTGAGAGTCCGCCTGCCGATGCAGGGGACACAGGTTCGTGCCCTGGTCCAGGAAGATCCTACATGCCGCGAAGCGGCTGGGCCCGTGAGCCATGGCCACTGAGCCTGCACGTCCGGAGCCTGTGCCCCACAACAAGAGAGGCCACAACAGTGAGAGGCCCACGTACTGCAAAAAAAAAAAAAAAAAAAAAAGGACAACCTGGAAGAAATGGACAAATGCTTAGAAAGGTATAACCTTCCAAGACTGAACCAGGAAGAAACAGAAAATATGAACAGACCAATCACAAGTAATGAAATTGAAACTGTGATTAAAAATCTTCCAACAAACAAAGTCCAGGACCAGATGGCTTCACAGGTGAATCCTATGAAACATTTAGAGAAGAGCTAACATCTATCCTTCTCAAATTCTTCCAAAAAACTGCAGAGGAAAGGAACACTCCCAAACTCATTCTGTGAGGTCACCATCACCCTGATACCAAAACCAGACAAAGGTACTACAAAAAAAGAAAATTACAGACAATATCACTGATGAATACAGATGCAAAAATCCTCAACAAAACACTAGCAAACAGAATCCAACAACACATTAAAAGGATCATACACCATGTTCAAGTGGGATTTATCCCAGGGATGCAATGATTCTTCAATATATGCAAATCAATCAATGTGATACACCATATTAACAAATTGAAGAATAAAAACCATATGAAAAAAATTTAACTGTGACAAATACCTGATAACTGTGGCAAAAGGAGAAGGTACTGAGTCGTGTATAAGTTTATTTTGCTTTAAAAAGTTGACACAATACAAGTAACATATAGAAATAGTGCTTTGTTCACATCACTTGTTTCCCTGTTTCAATAAAACTTCTGTTTCTCAATGGAAAACAAAATTTACCTGTGTCGATTCAATTTTGTTTAGAGATATTTTGGTTAAAAGACTCATAATGAGAAACCAAGAGAAATGGCCTTCACTGATTCAACACTGACTTTTGTTGTTGAAGTCCACATAACTGCTAACTTGGTGCTATTTTTAGAACTAAATGAGGCCCTTCTCTTTCTGCAGTACACCAGTGTACTTAGTGTACCTTCAGAGTAGCAGAGGAACATCTCTTTTCCATAAGCCTTTCTTTTGAAGACCTTTGTAGTTCTACAATACAAAGTGTGAATGCCAGGCTGTCTGAATATGATTGAAGGGAGAAAGAAATAAAAATTCCTCCTCCCCAGATGGTTCAGTATAACACCATTCCTGGTAAAAATTCTCCTTTCTCCTCTATCATAAATCGAGACCACTGTTAGCTATGAGTATCGAGTTGCTAGAGGAGACCTACATGCGTCATTTGGGTTAAAGGCATCCTGGCCACATCATCTTCCCACTAACCCAGGTTTCTAAGCACAGAAGAACAGGAGATAACTCACTACCAATTTAAATGCATAATTTCAGAGAATCTTAAAACTGGAAGAAACTTTAAAATTCAACTAGGGCAATTTCCTCACTTCATTACAAATACACTGTGAGGCTTAGATGAGATGTATGAATCACTCAGGGCCTGCCTCAGGGTAGGCATATAACAAATGTTAGTCTGCTACTCCTGAAAGTTCTCTGGGCCTTTATTCTAGGCAATGAGACAGGAGTTTCTGCACTCAGCCCCAGAAATATTTTTTCAAAAGCTTTGGGCGTGATGCCCTGTTTTTAAGCTTATATTCAGTCCTTGTGGATTTTTCTATTTTCATTCCAATAATCAATTGCTCTTATGGTAAGCAACTTAGAAAAACCAACTATTACATTTTATAACTACTAAAAAGAGCAGTCAAATAAAGAGAAAGTAATTCTTAACCTAGAGTATCTTCTATTATTATTATTGTTACTGTTATATTATTAATTACTACTATTATAACACTGGACATGACGTAGGATACAGAATAAGCATAAGACATGGTGTTTGCTTTGATGCGTTGTTCTCATAAGAAATAAAGATCAGGAAATAATGTACTACCAATTTAAATGCACAATTTTGAATCCTAAAACTAGAACAAATTTTAAAATTTCAACTAGGGGGGAAAAAGAAATTTGAACTAGGGCAATTCTCTTCCTTCATCACAGATAAGTGGTGAAGCTTAAATGAGATGTGTGAATCACCTGTTTCTTTTTAATAACACTTTTAAAAAACAGTCAAACATCTTTAAAGACATTATTTTGTAATAATTATATTATCTCCATCGTGGTGTAGGGGAAATGTGAATCCATTGACTAGAATATAGGGGTAGGCAAACTTCCTATAAAAGGCAGAATAGTAAATATTTTAGGCTTTGCAAGCCATATACAGTGTCTGTTACATTTTCTCTTTCTTTTTTTAATGACCTTTTACAAATATAAAAATCTTCCTCTTCTCACTGGCCATACAAAAGCAGATGGGCCAGATTTGCCCTGTGCAAGCTGTGGTTTGCCGACCCCTGGACTAGATAATAAAATTAAAGTCATAAGAGATAATGTATTAAATCAATTTATAAAACTGATAAAATCAGAACAGGATTTAAATACTCATACTTCCTTCAGTATACCATTCTACATCTATGAAGCATCTCTACCTTACCTGAAATTCATCGAAACATAAAAGACTTGCTTCTTCACTGATTTCTTCAGCTATAGGAGCTATTGGATCGTATGATTTAGCCATGAATCCTGGTTTCCTTTTTGGCAAACTCTGTTTAAGGCGGTGTATTCCTTAAATGGATGAAGTTAAACACAAATCAAATATTGTATTAACAGTACATTTTAGATAACTAAAACATATTTTTAAAATCTCTAAATGAAACAGAGTGTGAACATAAAAATGAGGTTTAAATTTCACATACAAACAAATATGATTATTGAGGTTGGTTGCAGTTTCTCCACCTCAAATAAGTTGTTCACATATTACTATATTCCTATGGTTGTAAGAACACTTTGTGGTCATTCCATCTCCACTCTTCAATCACTTCAGAGATGACAAAGTGATAGAATAGATGATCAGATTGTGACTGATGGATCAACACACAGATCTTAGCCCTGAGGATTTCAGAGATGCAGGCAAAGGAGGTGATCCTGCCCTCTATGTCTAGCATATCTAATCAGGATGTTCCCTTGTTTCCGGCCAGTCCCACTTCCTTCACTCTATGTTACTAAATGCTGAAAGTATTCTAAGAAAAGTACAATATTCCTGCCCTGAGAAGGTTACAGTATAGCTAGTAAACAAATAATGCAAAGATGAAATAACATACCCTTGACAAAGAAATAAAGCATACATACAAGAACAAACTGAATGCCTACATGCTAGGTGACACAGAGGAAAAGGCCTAATCAAGAATAACTTTGTGAAACAGGTGAGGCTTAAAGATTTCTTATTGATCCTTAGTAGAAAGAGAAAATGCCTGACCTTCATAGAGTAACCTCTGTTCTCTGATTTGGAAGTAATGAATTTGTCTCTAGGACCAACTCTGGACACATTACTAATTGCTTCAATATAGCACAAAACAAATGAAACCAAATAAAATCTTACTTTTAGCAAAAATCTAATTTTTTAAAAGATTAAGAACTTTAAGATGAGGAAAATTATCTTGTAATGTTTGTCCATTTAAATCACTTCTTTCAGATCATTAACTTACTTTTGTGAACATCTAGCATGAAACCATGAAAATGAACCCGTTTTTTCCTCTTCATTTCCACATAAGCATAAAACATGTCCATCACCATTGTTTTCCCTGTACCTTAAAAAAAAAAAAAAACTATCAAACAGTATGTACTGATTGCTCTAATGATTGTTCATTAGCTTTGGGATAATGAAACCACACTCTGCTACTGGAAAGCTTAAGACTATGTTAACTTTTTTAAAAGCAGTGTTTATGTCTTATGCTAAACTACCTAAAAATAAAATGTTGATATTATTCTTTTCTGTTAAAATCCTGTTTTTAAGAAATACAACATTTAGTTAGCACTCCAGGGAGTATTTCCTCCAGAGAACTATGCTTTTAAACTGGCAAGATTTACAGATTATTCATTCTTCAGTTTCTCTTCCAAAAGGCACAGTATAAATAAAATAACTTTAATTAATTAATTATTTATTGGGCCATTACAAAGGATGAGGAACTGTCTTAGGCACTATAGGAAAATTTACCAGTGAAAAATAAGAAAATACAGATTAGCACCTAACATAAACACTGAAAATAAATAATAGATGTTACAGCTGGAGAATTGCCAATTATAACACTTTTTTAAAAAAAAATTTATTTATTTGTTTATTTATTTTTGGCTGCATTGGGTCTTCGTTGCTGAGCGCAGGCTTTCTCCAGTTGTGGTGAGCAAGGGCTACTCTTCCTTGCAGTGCATGGGCTTCTCATTGCGGTGGCTTCTCTTGTCGTGGAGCACGGCTCTAGGTGCGTGGGCTTCAGTAGTTGTGGCACGCAGACTCTAGAGTGCAGGCTCAGTAGTTGTGGCGCATGGGCTTAGTTGCTCCATGGCTTGTGGGATCTTCCCCCACCAGGGCTCAAGCCTGTGTCACCTGCACTGGCAGGGGGATTCTTAACCACTATGCCACCAGGGAAGTCCTATAACACTTTTTTAAAAAGCTGAGAATATTGGCTTTCAAAATGAGGCTTACTTGAAGAAATTCAGATACAGTTAACCCTTATAATTAAATTATCTAATTTTCAGCACTCAAACTGTTAATCACTACGATCACATTAGTAATTGAAGAGTCAACAGCCTAAGCATTTCACAAGGCATGCACAGGAAGCCTATTCCCTTACAGAAAGCCCAGAGCTTTGGGGACACTGACAGTAGTCAAGTTTGGTTCACACCCAGCATTCCCCAGCAGGCAGGCCAGGGGATGCTGGTCTTGTCTCTCATGCTCACTGCTTCCTCCACCACCACCTTACCAAAGCGTCCAGGCTCTCCTTGCAGGAGCTGCAATTATTATACTAACTTCAAAGGCAGCTCAGGAAGCAAGATTTGAGTCTTAAATCTGTTGAGCTTTCCTCCATTCCATAAGATGACTTTGGGCCATGCCATTTGAATTGTCAGAAAGGTTTTTGTATATGAAAATACAATTCACAGGACTTCCCTGGTGGCTAAGACTCTGCGCTCCCAATGCTAGGGGCCTGGGTTTGATCCCTGGTCAGGGAACTAGATCCCGCATGCAGGCTGAAATGCAGACCCAGCAAGCCAAATAAATAAATAAATAAAATTTTTTAAAAAAGAAAATACAATTCACCAGACATATTTTTAATGAGAAGACCGCTTAGCCTGAAAAGTAATTTTTTGCAAATATATTCGGTACAAGTCTCTTGATATAGTGAGTGGCAGCAAATTTTATATCATTACATTTACACAAAGAAGTGAATTAATAAAGTTTCAAATTCTGCTGCATGAAGCATAGTATACTTATAGATCCAGAAAAGAAGTCATGAATTATCTAACAAAAAATGTGAACAATATATATTTGAACATAATCATTGTGCTCTTCTTGCAAAAATGTGCTTAAAATGTAACAAAACCATCATATAAAAAGTTTCTGAAAATAAAAGCAAAAAGAAGAAATCATAAAGGAAAAAACTGATAAACTAGAATATGTAAAATTCAAACTTCTGAATATCAAAATCACCATAAATAAAATATTTTTATTTATTTAATCAACATATTTTCATTGAATGCCTACCATGTGTGAGGCCCTATTCTAGGTGCTTATTAGGAAATGGCAGTGAACAAAACTAACAAAAATCCCTGTCCTCATGGAACTTGGCAGTTTAACATTATGTATCTTTATATTTTTTCCTCAAACACTGTTGGTGGGAATGTAAATTGGTGCAGCCGCTATTGAAAACAGTATGGCAGTTCCTCAAAAAATTAAACATAGAATGACCATATGACCCAGCAATTCCACTCTTGGGTATATATCTGGAAACAATGAAAACACCAACTTGAAAAGATACATGCATCCCAATGTTCACAGCAGCACTATTTACAATAGCCAAGACGTGGAAGCAACCCAAGTGCCCATCAACAGACAACTGGATTAAGAAGATGAGCCCTATGTCACTCCAACTTTTAGCTTGGAGGCACCTTCCAGATTGCTGCACAGAGAAGGTGAATCCAAGTTAAACACCCAGGTCTGAGTGAGTTAAGAGAGATCAGGATTATGGGAGTCCAAAATGCAGGTGAAATTTGCAAGGCAGAGTGCCAGAGAGGAGGAAGCTATATAATGAAAGAGCTCCAGAAACCAACAGGTGGACACTCTTGAGTCTTTGGCTGAATAATAGCTGCTCATGCGTAGGGTGATACTTCATGATGTGAGGCAAGGGAAGCTGTGTTATGAACCCCTAGGAAACTGAGTGATAAACAATTTCCAGAGATGTTGATACATACAACAACTTGAATGACTCTCCAATGAATTACACTGAGTGGAAAAAAAAAAAGCCAATCTTAAAAAGTTACATACTTTTTCATTTATATAACATTTTCGAAATGACAGAATTTTAGAAATGGAGAACAGATTAGTGACTGCCAGGATGCAGAAATGGAGGGTGGATATGTATGGTTATAAAATTATGGGCAATACAAGGGATTCTTGTGGTGATACAGTTGTTCAGTATCTTGACTGTGGTGATGGATATATGAACCTACAGAGGTGATAAAGTGTATAGAACTAAATACACACATAAATGAGTACGGCACAGCTGATGTGAAACTCGTAGATACAGAGTGCTGACTGTATTCCTTGTACTAGGCCATTTTATATAAGGGACCTGAATATCACCAAATTTTGATATCCTTGGGGACCCCTAGAATCAATCCCTGTGGATACCAAGGGATGACTATACAAGTAAAACTGGAGAAATCTGAACAGGATTGGTGAATTGTATCAATGTCAATACCTGGTTGTGATATTTTTACTATAGTTTTGCAAAATGTTGCCTTAGAGGGGAAATGAGTGTATACAGATCTCTCTGAATTACTTCTTATAACTGTATGTGAATCTGTAATTATCTCAATGAAATTTTCAATTAAAAAAATACTTCAAAGGAATCAAAGTGGCATGCAAGTAACTTATTTAACTCCCTGTCAAAATAAAATTCAACATATAAAAATTATATAATCTCACAACGTTTGAAAAAAATTTTGACAAAATTCAACACACATACATGATAAAAACTCTCAGCAAACTAGGAAACGAAGCAGACTTCCTCAACCTCATAAAGGACAAATACCAAAAAACCTACACTGAAAAGATGCTCAATATCACCAATTATTTGAAAAATGCAAAACAAAACTACAATGAGATACCACTTCACATCCATTAGGATAACTATTATGAAAACAACAAACAGAAAAATAATGTATTGATAAGGGTGTGGAAAGTGGGGACCCTTGTGTATTAATGGTGGGAATGTAAAATTGTGCAGCTGCTATGGAAAACAGTATGGCAGTTCCTCAAAAAGTTAAACACAGAATGACCATATGACCCAGCAATTCCACTTCTGGATATACACAAAAGAATTGAAAGCTGGGATTCAAACAAATATTTGTTCATCAATGTTTATAGCAGCATTATTCACGGAAGTCAGAAGATGGAAACAACCCAAACATCCATTGACAGATGAAGGGATAAACAAAATTGGTATATACAATATAATGGAATATTATTCAGCCTTAAAAAAGAATGAAAAAAAAAAGAAAAAAAAAGAATGAAATTCTGACATAGTATCTTGAAGATACCATGCTAGGTGAAATAAGCCAGAAACAAAAGGATAAATATTATATGATCCCACTTACATGAGGTCCCTAGAGTTATCAAATTCATAGAGACAAAAGTAGAACAGTGGTTGCCAGGGACTGGGAAGGAGGGGGTTATAGAATGGGTGTTATTGTTTAATAGGTACAGAGTTTCAGTTTGGGAAGATAAAAATGTTCTGGAGATGAATAGTGGTGACGTTTGCATAACAATATCAATGTACTTAATGCCACTGGACTGTACAGTTAAAATGATAAATTTTATATTATATATATGTTGCCACAATAAAAAAAACTAATACATTAAACACACACACACACCCTACAGTTAACATCATATTTAACTAGGGAAGACTGAACACTTCTCCCCTAAAATCTGACACAAGGCAAGGACATCCACTCTCATGACTTCTGTTCAACATTGTACTGCATCCTAGCTATGCAATGAGGCAAGAAAAAGAACTAGAAGGCATAGAAATTGTAAAGGAAAAAGTTAAATTGTCTTTATTCACAGATATGATTACGTTCACAAAAAATCCTGAAGAAGCTACCAAATAACCAGGAGTTATAAGAGTTAATAATTGAATTTAGAAAGGTCATCCAAAAAATCAATTGATTCTATACACTAGCAGTGATCAACTGGAAATTTAAATGTTAACATACAATACCATTTGCAGTAAAATACACGGGAATAAATTTATCAAAAAATATGGCAAACCTCTGCACTACAAACTACAAAACACCACTGAGAGAAATTAAAGAAGATACTTTAGGGACTTCCCTGGTGGCGCAGTGGTTAAGAATCTGCCTGCTAACGCAGGGGACACGGGTTCGAGCCCTGGTCCGGGAAGATCCCACATGCCGCGGAGCAACTAAGCCCGTGTGACACAACTGTTGAGCCTGTGCTCTAGAGCCCGTGAGCCACAACTACTGAAGCCCACATGCCTAGAGCCCGTGCTCCGCAACAAGAGAAGCCACCGCAGTGAGAAGCCCACGTACTGCAGCGAAGAGTTGCCCCCACTCGCCGCAACTAGAGAAAGCCCGTGTGCAGCAACGGAGACCCAACGCAGCCAAAAATAAATAAATAAATAAATAAATAAGATATTTTAAAATGAAGAAATATACCATGCTCATAGATTGGAATACTCAATATCTTAAGTTACCAATTCTCTGTAGACATTGCTCTATAGCTTCAACATAATCCCAATCAAAATCCCCAGATTTTTTTTAAAGAAATGAACAAGCTTATTCTAAAATGAACATGGAAATGCAAAGGCCACAGAATTGCCAAAATAATCTTGAAATAGACAAAGTTGGAGGACTCACATCACACCACAGAAATGCATCAGCAAAATCCAAGTTGTAGGAAATCTTACAGGACAAAGATGTTTATAAGTATGTATGTATATATATGTGTGTGGTGTGCACACACCCAAGCATATACTATCTCAGGATGTAAAATATATTACTTACTGTGAGTCATGTTTAAAAATGTTTCAAAGCCATTGCCACAGTTTGTAAGCTTTGGGTGAGCAAAGGCTGTGTCTGCTCTTATTCACCATTATGTTTCCAGAAACAACAGACTGCCTGGCACAAGGCAAGTGCTCAACAAGCATTTGTCAAGTGACTGGAAGAATGAGGACAGATGTTGGAAAAAAGGGAAGAAACCAGCACTAAATTTCACCTGCTTCATAATTTTTCTTTGGTCTCTACAGAATCCTAAATAAAACCTTGTAATTTTCTCAGGATAAGATTCTTACTAGGGGAGTCATTTATAAAACGTAAAAATCTTTTAAATTCTAACTTTTAAGCCTATAGTTGGGAAGCCAAAAAATGACTACTCGAGAGCCCCCTCTAGTGGTGCCCTTTTCACAGCTGACCTCCTGCAGAAGGAGCTGGAAGTGGTATCCTCCACCACTGCCTCCCACCCAAGAAGAATTTTGCTTTCCAACCCCTAACCTTAAAAACAGTCTAGCTTTCCACTGGTGAAATTATCAATGTGGAACAGGTAAGGTTAAACCAGGAGACAGCAAAAAAGGGACTGACAAACAAAAATGTACTTATTCTCTTCTAATGTACGGAAGAAATCACTAACCCTGCCATAACCACTCATTCTGCTAGTTTAGAGCTGAAACCTTGTTGTAAGAAAGCCAGCTGTAGGGTAAGAATGAAGCCACAAAATATTACTACTGAAGCTTTTGACTTCTGCATGAGATATGATAAGCATTTTATTAATGAAAACATTTCAAGATTGAACCATGATGATATCAATGCTCCTGGGGTTCCCGTATTGAGGGTCCATCTGAGTCAATCATCTCAACATACCTATGAAGACAGAGTAGAGTGAAGTGGGCATGACAGAGTCCAAGCCAAGGGCAGGAATAAGGAGAGGGAAAGGGATGCTATGAAACAGACATCTCTTTTCCACCAAGTCTCTTTAAAATTTAATATCTGTTTCCCAAGTCTAAAACAGAAAAATAATAAAGAATAAGAGCTTGTAAAGGCATTCCGAGGCTATTCTCCCAGCCAGCGAGCCCCCCCAAAATGAGAATTTGACCTATCTTTTATTACCTATTTTGTAAGTATTCTAAACTAAACTGAGTATGGCCACCAAAATGTTCATCTCACTTCCTATTTCAGAATTCCTTTCTCTTCCCCCCTCTACATTATGAAGATGTTCCTAGCCAAAGATTGCCACACACCCAGCCTATGTGAATATCCCATGTTACACATCTTTTCTAATCCCTTCAAACATTCAGATAAATTACATTTATTGTACCTCCTTTTCGTTAGAATATGGCTGTATTTTCCAAACTAAAAATCCAACAACTTTCATAGTTGTTGTTTTTATTTTTTTTAAGTCCTTTTGTAGAAGTGGAAACAGTTGTGCCTTACTAACCATCTCCATTTATGGTTAAGTGGTTAAGGTAACAACAGAAACAAAGATGCAGATTTTAGCAATGACAGAACATGAAAGTGAAGGTATAGGAAGTAAACGTTCTCCAAAGAGGCAAAAAATAAGAGATGACAACAGAATGAGATCTGCTAGCGGTGCCCAAAGGTGCAGACACACAAAACTGCTCAAGTACCTGGTATAAATTAGATTCTAAATAAGAAGCATACATTGGTCTCAAAAATACCAATTAGCCAATGAACTAAGAAAAAGAATAGTTTGAGCTTCTTTCACATTTTTAAAATCTGCAAGTTTGAAGAATCTCTATCATGCACTTTTTAAATACTAATTCCCTTTTTATTAGATTTGCTAAATCTATAAATGTAAAACAGGCATTTAGAGGCATTAGTAAACAAATCAGAAGAAGAGGGAGGACCCAGAAAAGAACATTTTGATCTTTAAGGCAGTATAACTATTCAACTTCTATTATTTTTCTTACCCTAAAATTCTTATTAAGATAACGAACCTCTGCCACCACTTCCTCACAATGCAAATTTGTTGATCTCGTTACATTAAATGTGCATTTTGAGTATGTAAAGAACTGAAGGACAAGCCATAAGGTCACAGGAAGGAGGAGCCACCTTCATGACATCAGTGAAGGTGGGTAACCAGGGAGAGGTTTAAAACTGGAGAAAAAGATTTGATTGAAGGAAATAGAAACCAGAAACAGACAACTTCAGCAAGAATGAAGTCAGGGAAGAAGAAAGACATTAACTGATTAGGAAAATCCAGAAAGTAAGTGACAGCTCATAAGGTTTCCAAGAAAATGTGACTCTTTGTGCCAGTGCATGACCAAGGAAATGTTACCACTCATATGTTAAGAACGTCTACTCAGGGACTTCCCTGGTGGTGCAGTGGTTAATAAACCGCCTGCCAATGCAGGGGACACGGGTTCGAGTCCTGGTCCAGGAAGATCCCACGTGCCTCGGAGCAACTAAGCCCGTGCGCCACAACTACTGGGCCTGCACTCTAGAGCCCGCGAGACACATCTACTGAGCCCGAGCACCACAACTACTGAAGCCCATGCGCCTAGAGCCCGTGCTCCTCAACAAGAGAAGCCACTGCAATGAGAAGCCTGTGCACCGCAACGAAGAGTAGCCCCTGCTCGCCGCAACTAGAGATAGTCTGCGCACAGCAACGAAGACCCAACACAGCCAAAATAAGTAAGTAAATAAATTTATTTTTTAAAAAAAGTAAAAACAAACAGCTTATTTTTTTTAAGTTATTAACCTGAGTCAAATAGCACTGAGCAATGAGATTCTGGTTTATCTAATAACCTATCTGGAAATGACTTCCTTCCCTGAGATCAACTGACTTTATACATTAAATAATGTTTGCACCCTAACATGCTAACTAATCCTGTCTTCAACTGCAGTCACCCTATGAGAAATAAAAGTAAAAACTAAGATAACTGCACTCCTCTCCTCTCTCCTATTTTACCTCACCTCATCCTGTTCCTGCTGGTAGTGTACTGAGGGATAGAAATGGAAGTTATCCCTGAGTGAAAGCTGGGAAACTTTTTGTTTGGACCACTTAAAACTTATTTTAACACACTTACCAACATCTCCATAAACATACAGGCCCCTTGGAGGTTTGCTCCTTGAAAAAAGCTGCAAATTAAGAACAAATTATAAATCTCCAACGTGGAAATAATCGAATATCATCATATACATAGTGTTCCTAACCGTGCTACATATACAGGACTGAAATGGGCTACTGTACACAATAAGTACAAAAAACTTGATACAAAAGGCTATGAAGCCCCACTTAGGTTTTAATATAGGAGACAAGAATCATAAGAGCTCAGAGCAAGGCTCTGAAGTCACACAACTTAAGTTTACATCCACTTCACAATTTACTAACCATGTAATCTTCCCCCTCTTTCCCAAATGGGCTCCCCAAACAATGACAGCCTAGCTCATTCCCAGCAAACAAGAGATCAGAAGACTTTTTCTGAAGAAAGTGAATGGTTTCCAGAAATAAAGGCCCAAAGGCACCTAGTGTGGGTTTCTCCCAAAGAAAGAACTGGGTCCCTATCAGATCACCTTACAGTAAAGCATACTAGTCAACAAACCTCTTAAGATGGAGCCTTCAATCAGTTCATTAGTATCTGAAAAGACTCTCAAACGAATTGACAGCCAAGAATCAACAGAAATTTGAAAAAAAAACAGAAAAACTCCCGTTATGAAAGTTGGAGACCACAGCAAATATACAGGGGGCAAAAAACTCCAAGGAAACAGAGACTACACAGACATCAAAAGGAAACTTCAAAATAAAACTGTAACCAATATAATTAATATGCTGAGGAAAATAAAAGAAGTTATTAAAACTATAAAGCAGGAACAAAATGCAATTTTTAAAAGGAATATTAAGAACAAAAGAGAGTACTTTGAAATTTAACATATGGTAGCAGAAACAAAATTCCAGAAAAGGGATTAGAAGATAAGCTTGAGGAAATGTTAAAGAAATACAACAAATAAACAATGAAAGATGGAAAATATAAGAAAATTACAGGATTAATTCAGGAGGTCCAATATCTGACCAAAAGGAATTCCAGAAAGAGAAAATAGAGAAAAAAGAGAGGAAGAAATTACCTAAGATTTTTCTCAAATCTGAAGGACGAAATTTCAAGATTGGGAGGACAGATTATATAAGTGTCCAACACAATGAGGGAAATAAGACGCATACCAAGTCATAATCCTGAAATTTCAGACACCAGGGATATAAAGGAAATCCTACAAACGTCCAAGGTGGCAGTGGGGTGGGCGTTCAGGGGGAAAGGTGGTGGGGAGCGGGTGGCTGGAGACAGGTCACAAACAACCGATAAAAACTTGAATAAAGTTTGAGGGGCAGTGATTTCCAACCTAATCCATCCAATCTATCCATCAAGTGTGAAAATGGGAAACTGACATTCCATACATACAGGGTCTCAAAAAACCCTCCGCAACAGAAATAGGAACACCTAGGCTCCATGAAACACAGAGGATCCTGGGGAGAATGCCCTGGTAAGATGGAGGGCTGCTCTCTAGAACCACAGTGGCACAAGCAGGACAAGAAAGCAATCAAGTCCAGACCAAAACAGGAGGATGGAGGCCTCAAAGGAAGAAACAAAATGGAACTTCTCTTTGCCTGATATTATTATCAACCCAAATTACCTTCCTGAATTTTGCTCCACTTAGAAGAGTAACCTTCAAACTGTATGACAGTTCCTAGACACCTGTGCAAAAACCAAGGTGAGCCAGAGCTGAGAGAGTTCAGAAAGGGTAAAGGCAGAAAGAAGCGAAGGTTATGCCCCTTAGCACCAACCAGAGCAGTCAATATTTTGACAGAGAACATTTTCAAAAGCTAGACTTCAGGATCCACTACCTAATGCTTTTGTTTTTTAATCTGTGGATTCCCTCCAGCATGCCTCAGAAACCTCTCTCACTTTCCTGTCCCTCAGCTTTCTCTATAAATCCAGCCTCTGACTCTAGCACGCCCCTTCCAAAAGAACCTTCACCATGGTTTAGGCAAAAGCATCTTCTTTGCTTTGATTCTGCCAGGTGGATATGCCTTCCCTGTGTTCCTCTGCACATTAACTCTCGATCTATTCTTAAATCTCAACTGAAAACAGATGCCACTCCTGCCAAAACCTCTTAATTTGTCTTGGTGTAATATCTTATGTGAACCATTCTTGTACATTGGTTATTCTATTTTCAATTTGCCAGAAAAAAAGCATCATGCTCCTCAATAATTTTAGAACAGCTTCAAATTAGAAAACTTATATACAACCTAATAATCTCTAAGTATATTCTATGTATTAGAAATCTTTTGAAAGCAACTTTTTGCATAAGGTAACTGGAAATGTTATAGCAATTCTTCACATCACATTTTGTAGAAACAGTCCGGGATCTAGTCATGATATAATCAACATATGCTGAACCAATGAAGTTCAAGCCAAAAATTTAACAAAGGTGGGGGAAAAAGATGACATGGGAAGAGCTCAATGCTGCTAAAAAAAAAAAAAAAAAAAAATCACTTGGGCCTATCTTCTGTTTTACCCAAACTCAACGTATTTTTGAAAGAGCACTTTGGCAAATATTACAGTACATTATCTATTACATATATAATTTATATTATATTACATTTTATGGCAATATTTAGAAGATGATAAAGAGATATGGTTATAGAGTATCAAAGGAAAAGATTCTCAAACATCTGAGATCACAAATATCTCGTATGGCATAAATACTGTTTAAGAAGCAGATTTTACTCCAAATAAATTGATAAACACAATGGATAATCCTCTAACAATAAATGTTAGACATCATCTATCTAAACTATGTTATATACACACCAAGTATTTTCACTTGGAGAGGCAGGTTAGTTTTCTCCTCATAAAATTTCAGTCTTCCAAAAATTATTGAAATTATTTCAAAGGATTTAAAACTCTATATTTTAAGGGGAAAATCAGAGGATTGAATGGAGAACAGTAAGACTATTTAGAAGGCTGTAAAATGGATTCTAAAGAAGTTTTTTAATTCTTTATTCATAGTGGTCAATTCAGGGAGAGTTAGGTTCACACAGTTTTCTTCAAAATAACGACACAGGCACCCACATAATTTACATGATCCTAATTTACATTTTCTCACAATTTACCCTATTTTTCAGGTCCATTAAATTTCCTTTCCCAATGTTTTAATTTCCTGTAATGTGTTCCTATGTCTCAGAGCACTCCACCCTGGCATAGTTCCTGGGTGCTGGGGTTCTACATGTGCTCCCATCCTCCACAAGCCTCCTTCATCCTGCTCTCTACCCTGGGGGCAACCTTGCTGGCTGGCTGCTAGCTGGGTTCAGTCCCTGGGAGGCACTACTTGCAGGAGATAGGAGGGAGGGGGTGGAGAGAAATCCGGGTCATTCTCTCCCGTTGCTTCCCTGCTTCAGTGCTGTGTCTCTAGCAGAGCTGCATCCCTCCATAATCATTAGGTCCTCATGCCACAGCTACAGCTCTCTGCAGGCTCCTCCTTCACTCCTCCATCCTTTGTTTGCTGCCTTAGGCCTGCCCTGCCCATGACTCTCTAAGTCATCTCTTGATTCAGTCTTTAAAGTGCTGTGAACAGTTTCCTGACAGCACTCTGATACACACCCAACCTCTAAAATACACCTACTTAACACTGACTAGACAAAGACTTGAAGATCTGAACATGAATAAGTTTCTCTAGTGACCAGTTGTAAGATTTGTCATGTTACTTATATCTTAGGGAATTTGTGAAGTAGGATGATGACACCTTCTCTAATGTGTTTTTTTGATAAGGATCCAGTGATACTGTACAGATTGTGCAGATGGTAAGCTTAAGGATGATGTTGGAAGACAGTGGAAAGCTATCACCTACCTCCACTAAGCATAAAAGATATAAGGAAAGAGTATTAGAGTTGAACTCAAAAGATCTGGGTACAAATTCTGGTTCGGCTACTTATTAGCTATGTGACTCTGGGTAAGCCACATCAACTCTACAACCAGCCATTTCCTTATCTGTTAGGTGCAGGACACGGCACTGGGGAGTTCCCACTCACTGCCCACCTCTGCACACCTAATCACAAGGCCCACTCACTCATGCTGAAGACTGTAAACTTCATGTACTGATACCTGCTTCTATCCAAACCTATGGACCACTAAGAAGAAACATCGCACCCTTTGACACACCCTTCTCAAAGATCTGAACAACATTAATGTACACTTAAGCTATTTTATATCTATACAAACTCTACCAAACAAATCAAGAATACATTCAAGAACATGGAGCACATTTTCAAATACTGTGCATATTCCAAGCCATAAAGGAAACCTCAATAAACTCCAAAGAATCACTGTAGTCCAACCAAAATGGAATAAAATTAGAAATAAATGATGGAAGGATAGCTAAAAATAGAAAAATCTCATACTAAGATACTGACTTTCCCTCACATTCCCTCACGTCCACCCAGACTTCTGGGATTGCAATTTCACATAGGAAGTGGAAGTAGGTCCAACCCAATGCCTTCTGTTTTCTCTTTATAAAGATGTAGACATTTGCTGAAAGTGATAGGGGAAGTGTAGTTCAACTTGAAGGGAGCTAAGAAGGCTCTAGAGAATCGTTACAGAGAAGAGTGAACTAACCAGCGAAACAGATTTGTTGACAAAATGGAGGGACACGCCTCAGGGCTTTCAGATTGTTCTCAACAATCTTCTATACCTGTGCAGTAGCCATGTCCTTTAGGTGAGAATGATCCCACTCCCAGCTCTATCCTCCACAACCAGATGAGGGGTTCAAGGGTGAGCTTATGACTAAGTCCAGTCAAGCAGAGTTCTGTTGTTCAACTCTAGGTGAAAGAGAAGCTCTAGTCTTCTGGGCAGTATGCTGTGTAGATGTGATGCTAGTTTGCTACTTTGAGATAAGCCAAGCTGAACACAAAGCCAAAATAATCAAGAGGGCAAGATCAAGAAGATCTCCAAGTAAGTAATAGAGTCAGGGGCCTAATACACTGCACCTGAAGCATACTTATCCCTGGACTTCTACATGAGCCAATGATTACTTGTATTATTTAACCTAATTTAGTTGGGTTTTCTGTTATTCGCAACTGAAAGCATTCT